CCCCCTCAAAGGAGAGGACGCGCAGCTATGCGACCTTTTGGACGACCAGTTGCTCGACAGCCAGCCCGGGCACCTGCTCGTCCCGTTGTTGCTCGTCCCGTTCTCGTCCACGCGCAGCCAGTGCGCCCCGTGGCTAGGCAGCCAGTGCCTAGGCCACTCCCTGTTTAGCCAGCACGTCCAGCAGTTAGGCGGCCAGCGCCTGCTGCTCCAGTTGTTCGTGTGGCTCCGGCCCCTCAGCGCCGGCAGCCAGTCGTACCTTTACCTGCTGCCCCGGTAGAGGCCCCTCGTGCTCGGGTATCCCCTCCTCCTTCCTCTTCTAGGAAGAGGGTCGCTCATGCCGAGCTTCCTCCACCTACTCATCGGGTTTCTGTGTTCACCCGGCTCTCTCACCCCGAGATTGCCGAGGAGACCCCGACACCCCCTCAGTCAGTAGTCCCTGTTCCTCCAGTACCGTCTGTGGGTACTGATGTAGCGTCTTCTTCCACCTCCGACCTTGGGAGAAGGGCTATGAGAAATAGGAACAGGAGATTACGCTTGGCAGCGTCTGATGCAGCAGTCCAGCGGATGGCGGATTCTTTAGCTCAGCAGGAGCCAATTCAACAGAGGATGGTTCCTTTACAGCGAGAGCCACATAGACGTACAGATACCCCAGTTACTGATGTTGTACTCGCCCCTGAGATCGACGTAGTCCAGGGAGGATGCTTTTCCCCTCAAGTACATAGTGGTGATGAGGAGGACGCTGCCCATATTACAGCAGCCCCTCCTGTCCCCACTACTCTTCCTCGCGCTCGAGTCCCCAGGGATACTGTCACTCGGACCCTCACTCAGAGGATCCGAAGCATTATCCGTTCAGCACGCGGTAGAGGGCGTGTTAGTGAGGAGAGGTTACTCCATCAGATCTCTCAGGTGCATTCTCAATTACAGCGGCAGTTGGTCAGACAGAGTTACCGGTGGCAGAGGAGACAGCCACCTCGGCAGCAGACTATAGTTTTTCCCACTGGTAGACCTCAGGCAGATGTCCCTACTGTTGGACGACGCCCTCGCCGTCACGGACGTCGCCCACAGTTAGCACCTGCTCGACCTCAGCTTGGATCAGTTGTAGTTTCCCCCTCCACTCAGTCGGATGTTCCTAGCGGGTCCCGTCGCAGTAGATGGGTTTGGAGACGTCGGCAGGTGGAGCAACCTATCGAGACGGAGCAGACAGTTGGTACGATCCGAAGGGTCGATACAGTTCCTTTAGTTTCAGCACCAGTTCAGATGAGTCGTGATACAGTAGATGTTGAGGGTAGTACCCCGGCTCGAGTGAGGCCAGTTGTTGTTCCTAGTCCCCTTAGGATTTCTTCTTCTTTGGGTCCGTACATTGATGCCCTTCATCAGACCTCCGACGATGACTTACTCGAAGGAGAGTCAGATGAAGACATCCCCGTTCACCGTGTCTGTGTTGTCATGAAACGAGGCACTTCAGATGAGCAGCATGATCAGTACGATGATTTGGAGGAA